CGACAAAACTGCTCTGGAGACAAAATATAAAATTAAACTGGGTTAAGGCGCATGTGGGCATCCAGGGCAACGAAGAAGCTGACGAAGCAGCCAAGATGGCCATTGGGTTAGACACGGTGGAACTCCAAGGGCTGAGGACCCCAAAACAGGTTAAGAGTAAACTGAGGGATAGTATCCTTATTAAATGGGCAGAGGAGTGGAGGAACTGTCCAAAAGGGAGGCAAACCTATGATCTCATTAAAACACCATCAACTAAAAGGTTACTTACAAACTTTTACCTAAATCAATTCATTACTGGCCACGGAGTGTTCGGAGTGTATCAAAAAAGGTTTTTCAACAAAAGTGGTATCTGTCAATATTGCACGGAAGAACAAACCATTCACCACCTACTTTTTGATTGTGCACGCTTCCGGGCACTCCGAGGGGATATCTTTACTAATAAAACTGAGCATCAGATCTTCTCAAGTAATGACTGCAAAAATATCGTCAAGGAAATCATTAGGGTCACACTAGAAGATCTACTAAAAATTAATCAGGTCTAGTCTCACTGGCCCTCCTCTCCAGATCTTCATTCGTTCCCCCAGTAGAGCCATCGGCCGGCATCCGGGCACGCTTGCTTTTACTTTGTGCGCCTCTTGTGTTTTAACTTCTTGCTAGTCTTGACTTGTATACCTCTCCGGCCCTGACTTGTTGCTGGTTTTAACTTTTAAATTTTAAATCTTTTGAGCGCATGTAACTTTTTTGTATTACCACTGGTTGGTTTTATTTTCATGAGTCCCTATTGATTCATGGTTTTAACTATCTTGATCACTTTGTACCCCTTTTGGCTTGTTATTGCTCTTTTAACTTGTCGTTGTTATATATTTTTAACTTTCCCTTTTTGGCTGTGTATTGCCAATGTTTTATTTCTTGTGAATGTTTTGGGTGCTTCTTATAGCGGCGAGGCACGGCCATAATAAGGGTCTGTAGACCTAATATAAGGATCTTTTGATTCGGCTGTCTCTTGCTCAAAACACAACCAGTTTTTACTTACTTTATCGCTATGCATTGTTCTTTATCTTTCTTGTGTATTGTAAATTTTGTATCTGATGGCCTGTTGCCATCCATCCACTTGATGTAAATTTTGTATTTTGTATTTTTTGTATTTTGTATTTTTTGTATTTTGTGTTTTTAATGCCTCTCCCGTATGCCCATAGATGGGCGGGTCGGGGACATACAATAAATACTGATCAAATTGATGGTAAAAGGATGGCTGGTACTTTGTTAAGGTTCGTCATGCATTTCCGAAGCTTAAGGTGGGAGAAGGTTTGAAGCTCTGATTCTAAAAACTGAGCGTGGAGAAAGATTTATTTTTTTCCCTAAAAACTTTCAAGTCTGTTGGAAGTCGGAATAAAGATTAAGATGTGGCTTGCCGCATTAAACTGTTATTCTAAACTCTCATTACCTTCATAGTTAACGAAATTCTTGTTTCATTTCATTCATATATTAATCACCTATTGTGCATTGTAGATTAGAAATCATAAATATTTAATAAGATGTCAGTAATACATCATTCTCATCATGATATTTATCCACTGAAAGAAAACACGGCGGTCTGTCGAAAAAGGTGTGTGAAAACTTACCGTTACCATTATCTTGGATATTAAGAAACCAGAATATATTAGAAAAAACATACGAAGTTATTGTATCACTTCATAAACTGGAATGTATCATGTATCACTTTTTTACCATTCCCTATGGAGCAAAAAAAAAAAAAAACAAGGATACACTATTTGAGTTAATTTTTAAAAAAATCCTAGTTAAGAATGTATTATTGATTTGCGTAAATGTTACAGCTGATAGGAAGGGGAAATCGATTGCAAATTTGAAATCAACGACGCGAAATTGTCTAAGATCCGTTCAAAAAATTTATACAACGGAAAAAAGAAATAGTATATTAGTGCTTAGATAAATAAACTTTTCGAATATATGAGCTTATGCGATTAAAGTAGGCGTTACTTTTCGTGGTATATTTAGTTATGCATTATGTTGTATTCAAGCTGCATCCCAAATTTTCAACAAAAAAAAAAAAAAAAAAACAGTTCGGTATACTTTGGATATCAATGCTAACATCGATACGAAATTCGTTTTAAAAAAGCATAAAAATTTATGTATAGAACATTTTATCACCCGTTCTTGGAATAAAACTATTAAAATATTCAAAGAAAAAAAATCTTAATATTAATATAAAAAATATACCAGTAGAATTATAAAAGTCTTTTAGTATATAAAATAAAATTTAAAAGATTAATTAATTTGGACTTAAACGGATTCTGTAAAACTGTCAGGATACCATGCTCTCTCTTCAAAGTAGCGGGTGTGACTATAAGCTAGGTTTCAGAAGCTTCTTCATTTCATTGTTAATTCTTCTAAATTGTATTCATCAACAAATTCAGGAACGAACTGAGTGCTAGCTGCTTCAACCGTGCTAAAAATAAGTAGCACTATTGCAGACTCCCATCTTATCTTCTGCAAGAACTCATTCTTAGTGCTAAATGACACAATCCAATTACAATTTTTACACACTCAGACGATATTCTCTCAGATAAATGTAACACCTTGCAAAAAATTTTATACATGGATACTCCCGGAGAGGGGAAAGGGCCGAAGGGATCTTCAACTCGAGATTATACCACCCCGAAATATTGACTGAATGTAAACAATAACAAAATTCCTAAAATTTAAAAAACTTCCAGTGTATCCTTCCGCTTATGTTATGCTTACGAGGTAATGTATCAAAAGGCTTAGTATTTAAAGAAGTATTATTATTGTGATTTGTGTTTAAATCTACGCGAGATATTACCATTAAATAGAATCTTCTGTAATTCAAAAATTCTAACAGGATAACAATCTATTCAAAAATTCTAACAGGATAACAATCTATTCAAAAATTCAAACAGGATAACAATCTATTCAAAAATTCTAACAGGATAATAAGCCTAAAACAAATTTAATATCTCAATTTGGCTACACTTATTTTCACAATTTGGTTATTATTATTTGGCTATATTTGTGTAAAATATCACTGTTTGTTATTTTTTTGGGTAGCATCGTAACATGCTTACGGTGTCTTGCGAATTCATTAGTTGCTTGCTTCGTTTAAATTTTAATTAATATAACGTGTTATATTATACAAACATAATAAAATTGGACGGCGTGCTTTTTCAAGCTTTTAAGCGTAAAATTCAACCCGACGTAGTTTCCCAAAAGTCTTACGACGAATTTTAACTCTTAGCGCCATCTTTGCTTACCTTAATAGAAGCCATGGATGCTCAGGGGATAGAGAGAATGAGGTGAGCCGGGTTTGAATCCCAGCGATGGCTGGTCGATAAGAATTCCGCATCCGGTTTGGACCGATCCCAGTGCTGACGAAATATTTTCTCAGTGGTAGACGGATCATAGGTTAAAATCCTCTTACTATCGGGCTAGCCGTGTAAGGTTTTCTTCTGAAATCTTATCTTCACATGTTCTATTTGTTGTGGGAATTAAAAGCCATTCCTACTACCAATACTTCAAAAAAGTGTGATTATTACACGTAAAATCTCTGGAGAGCGACAGCTTTTATGTTCCACACTAAAATAGTCGTTAATGGAGGTTGGTCATTCTTAGATTTTACCTCCATTGAATTCAAAATGTTATCGAAGGTGCACGATAATTTGCAAACGATTTTAATTTTACTCAGCGTCATTTTCTTGGTGTGGGAACGTCATTTGTGTTGATGTTAGGAAAACCGGATCAATCAAAAAATATAGCCTCTATAAAGATGATCCCTACTGATATAATTATGCGTAAAAACAAATTTACCAATTATGAATGATAGAACTACTTTCAATAAATAAGCAATTTTATTTTTTGTATAAGTTTGCATTTAATTTTTTATCATAAATAATAGTTAGCTTTATAAGATGAGGAGAGATTTTGTTTCATCGTTTTTAGTGACTGCAACATGAGTTTGCAGATCTCTTCCCGAGATCGTTTCTAAATTAGTTCCTCACACAAATATTTTGAATATATTTTAATTTACTTATTTGCTTAGTTAATATTTTTTATTTTCATGTTTCCATACTTGCTTTTTTTCGCATTTGGTGCAGAAGTCTGCCCGGCCGTTGGGAGAGGTTTTCAATGTCTCTCCTATAGGTTTTCTTCAACATAGAGTTTATGGAAAAAACTCCCTGTTCCCTAAAGTGGTCGTAAATGGAGGTGGTCGATACAAGATGGTTTTTGAAAAAGCACCATAATTTTTAAAACATAAAAAATATATATATATATTAATAAAATATGAATGCGAGGGGATTTTGTTACAAATTTAGATATTCGGAACACCGTGAAATTGAGGGGGAGGGAGGGTAAATTCCATTTTTTGGTGACCTAAATCCGACCATGACTTAGCTTGATATTTTTTAAAAAAATAGTGAAGATCATGACATTTCATGACAAATTTTGTTCAATACCGAAATTCATGACTTTCCAGGTGCGCAGATACCCTGAAAATAATATACTAAGAAATGAAAATATTTAATTGCTTGGAACAACGAAATGACACCTAGTATAACAGAAAACTTTCATATCTGACAAAAAAAAAATTTCATAGATTTTGAGACATTGAACTAGAATATTCTTATTTTGAGGTTTCAGAGGCTTTTAAGTAAAAATCACAAAACATTTTAGGCTGCATAACAGGATAAAAATATTGCATCAGGCATGTTGTTTTGGAAACACAATAAGAAAGTGTGCATATTTTTTATTTGAGAATTCGTGGATAAAAACCTTATGTCAGCTAGAATTATGATTTAAATTTTCTTGATTTTGCCCAATTCTTGCCATTTCTCTTACTCTTCACTCAGGAAGAGTGTATCATAGACTTTCCCTTTAAATTTTACTGACAATAAAGAAGAAAAAAAGATTATTTTGTAGAGATCTTACAGGTGTAATGTAACCCCCAAAGTGTGTACTTCTTCTTGCTTATGAAATTAATATCATGTAAAATCTATGAAGAAATCAAACTACATCATTCAGCAACTATGGACAAATGGCTTAGTAAAAGTTACACACCTGCCAATCTTTATTTTTTAAAATGCAGAAGGTTCACTACAAAATTACAGAAAAAATTAATTAAAATACAGATTTTACGCATTTTCAAAAGAAAAGTATTACCTTTTAGAAAATTTATTACGTTACAAATCAAATTGATAGTGCAAGATTAGATTGCAATCGAAAGATTAACATTTCTATAGAATATTTTTGCCCTTTAACATATTTTAAAAAGTTAAACATTAGTTAATAGAAAATTCCAATTTAAATCTAAATTATGTTGGTAACAATAGAGTTTTATATACAGATAGATGAAAAAATAATAAAAACACTTATATACAAACTCCAAGAAAACAATCTTTTAGAAGCAAATGTTTAGGAGGATCTTATCAGGCAAAAAAATGCGAAAGATCATTCTTCAAGCTTTCAGAATAGATGTATTTTATACCCATACAGATCTACTAAAACGATGAGAGGAAGTTTATAACTTTTTGTAACTTTAATACCAACAATTTTGACATCATTTTAGAAGATTCTGATTTTTTATATAAAAAAATGCTGTTACAATTATTATGGTATTAAAAAGGGAAAGGAGATTTAAACTTTCTATTCTCATTTTGGTCAACACAAATTTAGCATGGATAAAAAGGACACCATTTTTAAAAAGCTTCAAACACGATCTTTTAAATTTTGCCGACGCTTTTTACAAGTAAAATCTTCCAAAACATGAGTAGCTAAAAATTTGTAGTGTTTACATAGAATCATATTAAAAGTATTCAGATTATTTTGTCACTAATCTGTAAATATTTAAACATGAGGGCAATCTTTTTTTGAAAATTTACTATTTACATTAAGCCAATAATAATAATAAGCAGAACATCTAAATATTTATATTGATTGTTAAATAAATTCTCATTGGTATGCATATCACAGATGGTCTTCTTATCAACCTTAATTTGACCCTAAGTCAAGGTTGGCATTCCAGCTGAAAGAAACCCATTAAATAGTTTGAAAATAGTAATTAAGATTGTTTACACTAGATTTCAATTGTAAACTGTTTAAACATTTGATTGGAAAAAGAGTTTCTTCTATTCCTTCAAACTGGGTTAAAATAAACCTCTTTTTTTAGGGTTTCTTCAGAATTTTTTCCATTGTCGTAGAAATCTGCCATCTTTGTCTAAAACACTTTTTGACATCCTGCATTTTTTACAGGCACATTCTGGGCACTTGCCCTACACTAGCTTTGTAGTATCCACCAACCTTGCCACCTAATGTAGCTTTTTTACAGGCACATTCTGGATTCTGCTTCACTCTAGTGCAGGTACATTCAGCACCCTGTTATACATTGATGCAGCTCTTTAGGGGCACGTTTTGGATCCTGCTTCACTCTAGTGAAGCTCTTTTGCAGGTACATTCAGCACCTTGTTATACACTGATGCAGCTTTTTACAGGCATATTTTGAATCCCGCTGTACACTTACAAAGTTTTTTTACAGGCATATTCTAAATCTGATTCTACACTTATGCAGCTTTTTTTTCTCTTCACTGAGAATGGTCAACTTCTACTTCGCAAAAAGAGTGTCCATATACTGCATTGCACAATCTATAGAAGCGTCCTGATTATCACACTGATTACTTTCTGGGCAAACAATATTTTTATCAGTCTTTACAGTTTTAGCATTAGAATTTGTATGCGAATGAAAGTGCTTTTTCATGTGTGATTTTCTAGTAAATCGTTTTTCACATATTCCACAAGAGAATGGTCTTTCATCTGAATGAGTAGCTACGTGCGTCTGCAAATGTCCCAACTGCAAAAATGATTTATTGCATACATTGCAAACATAACACCTCTCATTGAAGTGACTCCTCATGTGAATTTTTAAAGAAGAAAGAAGTGTCTTATGGCAAATTCCACAAGTGACTGATTTCTCACTTCTCTTGTATCTCTCCCCTTTATGTGCTTTTAAGTGTTTTCCAAGTGCAGATTTTTCCTTAAAACTCTTATTGCACAATTCACAAACATGAGGTCTATCATCTGTATGACGAATCATATGCGCATTGAGAAGGTATCTTTTTGGAAAATTTCTACGGCAAAGTTCACAAGTGTGAGTTTCGACATCCGAAGAGGGAAACTGTGTGTGAGTAAAGAGATGGCGATTAAGTGACCCTCTGTGAGTAAAACCTTTGTTACAAATTTCACAAGTAATGGGTCTCTCCTTTGTATGGGTTAAATAATGTCTTTGTAGATGAGCTTCTTGTTTAAAAGACTTTTTGCATATTTCACACGAATAGTTCCTTTCGTTTGAGTGGCAGCGTAGATGCAATTTTAGGCTACCCTGATATGGAAAACTTTTATCACAAATTTCACATTTAAAAAATCCATTTTTATGGAGGAGTAAATGTCCATGGAGTATTCTTTTATTTTTAAAGACTTTATTACAAATTTCACAAATGCAATTTTCTTTAATGTGTGTAAGTAGGTGCTTTTTGAGACTATATCTTTGCGTGAAGGTTTTACAACAAATATCACAAACATTATTTTGGTTAGTTTTAGTGACAGAATTTTCATTTAAAAGTTCATCAGATAATTTATCACATTGACTTCCATCGAAATGTTCCTCACTATTCTTGAATGATCCATCATTTGTGAATGAAGTCCTGCCATATACTTTCTTTACATTCATATTATGAAACTGGAATACAACCTTTTGCAGCAAAAAGGAACCTTAATTTCTACCTATGAAAACAAAAAATTTAAATAAATGAATATACAAAAGTAAAAGCGCAATAACATGTTCACATATGCAATCAAACTGCAATGTGTCAATCTTGAGCAATTAAAAAGAAATTGAGATATTATACACCGGTATTTCAGATATTATATTTTCTATTTATTCAAATTTTTAAAAAAATAGAACAAAAAAAAAATTTATTTACTGTTTTTCATTTGAAACTTTATTACCTGTGCCAGAAAATAGATAGCAGCCTTTTTTCATATAGAAATTTTCGGCATTTTGACTAAGGAGCAGTATACTTTAAGAAAACTACTGAAAAGCTTCTTTTTTTCTTTTTACTTTATTTATTTATTTTTGAAAACACAGTAACATGAAAAAATCAGATTATCATAGTTAAGAGCAATTGTTCCTTTTTTTTTATAGTCATTAACATTTTTATCACCACATTTTATAATAAAATTTTCAATAAATAAATTATAAGAATGTTTTCCTTTATCGTCAGTTTTTTATAAAATTGTATTAAAAAAGGAAATTTTCAGCTTCTAAAATTTGTTTTAGAAACAATTTTTTAATTGCTTTTTTTTTTCTTTCAACTTTGCTGTTTCAGCTTTTTTCAAAGCCGTCAGTTAGTCTTTTACTTATCTTTTGATTTCTTGTGTGTAAGGCAATTCTACAATAAGTAAGATGCTGCACACATGCATTTTGAGAATTTTTTTACTATTTTACGCAAAATTTAAAAGAAAAATTAACTTTTCAAAACATTTTTCTTCAAACTTCTTAGTAAGATCAATATATAAAAGCAGTCAATTTGAAATCTTTCATAAATTTTATTTTTTTAAAAAATAGAAAAGTATTGTTGGGGAGAGAACAGCAAAATTGAGTATTTTTCAAAATCTATATCTCAAATGGGATTTCTGCTCTTATAAAATTTGAATGTTCTTTGTATTGTTTGAAGTGCCACATTTTATATTGACTATTTGACTAATAAAAAAAAAAGTTCATCACAAAACTCTAAACATTATTTTAATTGGTAAGTAATTTTAAAAAAATTTTTAATTTTTTGCGGAGGGGACTTATGGTAAGTGAAATATTGTGAAAGGGACATTTTATTTGCTGTTTAATTTTGTTTTTAAATAAAAAGTTAAGATTATTCTTAAAACATTTTTCAGGTTTTCCTTAGTAAGTAAGATCAATGTAAAAATTATGGTACTTTTCTATTTCACTGGTGCATACGATACGTCGCCAATTCAAAGTTACTGAATGCAAATAAATGCAGCGGTTTTTTGCTTGTTTTTAAATGAAATTTTTTTTTTTTTTAATTAGATTAAATATCCTAAATTACTTGCACCAGTGAAATAGAAAAGTGGCAAAATTAGTTAATGAGAATTTTCTTATAAATTCGTCTTTAAAAATTAGAGAAATATTATTGCAGAGAGGACAAAAAATTAAGAATTTTTAAAAATTCTCTATTTTTAAAAAGGAAATTCAGCTTTTATGTAGTCGGAATGCTGTATGAATATTTTTTATAAAAAACAATAAGACTATTTAACTATAGAAAAAATATTTGTTACAAAAGCTCTAATATTAATTTAATTCAGAGCTATGAAGTAAAATTTGTAAACAAATCTCAGAAGCTTTGAATCCTGTCTATAAAATGAAAAGGCAAAGTTTATAAATCATATTTGTATTCATTCATAATTTAGCTAATTTATTTAGGAAATAAAAATTTGAATATTTATGGATCAAAAATAGTTTCAGGGAACAAATTAGTAGTTAGAGAGAACAATAAAATTTGTTTTTGTCTTCCTTGTCTAGAAAGACCAACATTAATCGAGTTAGATTTCCATTAAAACAGTACTTCAACAGTATCACTTTCAATGGTTGACACATAAAACCAGTCTTTATTTTTTAAATTTTTCAATCCTACTACAAAAAAAAATTCTAAAAACAAATGTTATATCCTTGTGAATGTTTTTGTTCCATGAAACACTCAATAAATCCTCCTCAAAAGCTTTGTGGTATTTGTAGCTTGAGAAATGTCAATAAAAACACTAGTAAACAGGAACATCCTTCTTTAATATAGCTAAGTATTTATCAACAAACAAAACTCCCCAAGGTTATTTGTTAAACATTTAAAAAAGTTGAAGAAAATGTCATCAAATTTTAAACTTAAAGCACATATTATATTTTACAGAAAAACATCTTTAACACAATAATCCTCAGCACAAATTGAATTGAAACTCAGAAAAATGTTGAAATTTCCTATTCATAGCTTAAGAAAAGTTATAAAAAAATTTTAACAGAAAAACATTTATAAAATTTAGAGTAAAAAAATACACTAATTTTTTAGTATTTTATTCTTCCACTAATAACCTTGGAATAACCTTGAAACTATAATGATTCATTTAATTTTTTATCTAAAATCAAACATTTTAAAAAACTTTTAACTATCGATGTTGTTATTCTGATACTTCATTTTCCCATGAAATAGACAAATATGGAAAGCTAAAACTTTTGGCCTTAATTAAGTAAGAGCAAATATCAAAATGACATTTTATTAATATGCTCCTCGCTTGTATTTGATTATATTTTTCCCTGCCAGTTTTTCTCTTATGTTTAATCATTTTTATGAAAAATTATTATTAGTTTTTTCTCCTTTTGCACTATGAATTCTCTATATGTACTGATTATTTGGTCTTAAACAAGACATAGCTAGAAAATAAAATATAAAAAATCAAGACTTTTTACAATTAAGTATTTGGATTTTTTGCATATCTGGCATTTGGATGGTCATCTGGCATTTGGATTTTTTGCATAAATGGCAGTCAGGATGGTCAAAATTTTCTAGAACGTATTTATTAGTTGTGAAACAGAAGATAAATCTTGCAAAATATAGATTAAAGAAAAAAGATAATCAAGTATCAAATAATAACAAGCAAGAAAAATCAGTATTTATCCATTAGCAAGATACCGAACAAAAACTCTTCCTCCAAAATAAATGCCAAGTTTTTAAAGTGTTAAAAAGAAGAAAAAAAACATTTAAGTCCACAGAAAAATTTGTTTCAAGTAAAGATATTTACAATTTCTTGCATGTTTTGTAAATTTATTTTATTTTTCCATATTGTTTTTCTCCGTTTCATTTCATTGGTGTGATCGAAAAATAATAAAATAAATGTTCTACGGGGATCGATGCCTTGCTAGTCTGAAAACAAATTGCTGCAAATTTTATGGAAGTTTCCACTTGAAGAATCCTGATGAGTGTCAATGTAATTAATAACATTAAAAAAAATATTTAAACTAAACTAAATTCAGAGGTGTAACAGCCCATAGTGGGGCAAGGCCTACTGTGCTCATCTCAGTTTTCTTGACCTTAGTACATTAATAATTAAGATAAATGTCACACAAAGGGAATATTATTTACCTTTAAACGGCGTTTCAAAATAATTACGTCAACTACAGGTATACAATTTAAAATGTCCGATGTGATCACTAAAATCTTTTAACTTGAAACTGTAAACAATTTTTGGAAGTAAGGTGATCTGTTAATCACAAAATAAAAACAAATATTTGTATACCCGTGTAAAGAATACAGTACTAAATATACTATCTTATATACTAAAATAAACAAAGTACCAAAATATTGCCTAATGCAATTGTAATTTATCATGCAATTTAATTGCATTGTAATGAATTATGTTTGACCTATATATTTCAGGATAAGCTTGCAATCTAACAGTATTCCACTACAGAACTTGTACTTTCTAGAACTTACGTAACTTGCACTTACCTATGTAATGATACTTTCATACCCGAAACTACATTACGGAAACAAATTAAAACTTTACTTCAGATGATTTTTTTGAACTAACACAAGGGTAAGTATCGTTGCAAATTAATCAGTAAAAAGTAATAGGTAAAAACAATGTTAGTAAAAAGTTACATAAGTGAGAATTATTAGTTCGAATCGAAGTTATTTATATCATAATCATATCACAAGTAAAGAAAAGTATAAACAGTAGCGCAATGAGATTAAAAGCTGTAGGTTGCCTATTTCTGTTTAATCAAAGGTTGCTTATTTCGGTAAGTCTACTCATTTTAATATTATTACAAAATTTTAATTTGCACTGCCTTGCGAATGATTTCTCATTTCGTAGGTGCGGGGATCATTTAACGTTAATTAACTTCGTAAATATGTGGTCGCCAAGATTTTTGGTGATACTGAACGTTATTGAGTGGAATTAATGACATAATTGTGCCTGAGCAACTAAATAGAATTATTTATCATATTATTATTTAGATAAAATAAAATCATCTCAGCCTGAGAATGTTTTGTAAGGAATCATTTTCAATGGATGCGATATTTTCCTTTTGTGAATAAGAAAAGGAGGGATCAAAAACATTGATCAGCGAAAAACTCGCCAATCAGTATTTTGGTTGCATACAAAAAATGTCATTCAGTGTGAAAGGAAAAATAAGGTGAAACTACTAATGCATTCGGTTGCGCTCGCGTGAGTGAATCAGGTGCATCAAAAACTGCTACTGCTTGCTATAGCTTTTTTTATTCTATTTTATTTATTTACTTATTTTTTATTTTACGAAGGGGAAAAATTGGGGGCATTTCATAACATATTAATATTAATGAGTAATTCTGATGAGCTTAAAGTGAAAATTTGTGTTAGTAATTTATAGTTGTTGTAATTTATTTACGTGTCCCTAGAAATGGGCTACTGACGACGGTCTGGGATCATGACAGTACAATGGGCTATAGGCGATAGTCTGGGCAGCATCCCTAAGGATGATCCGAAGACATGGCTTCACAATTTTGATCCTGTGCAGGGGGAATGGCACCACCGCTTCGGTTCCCCGACAGCTTGTGTGCGAAGTCGAGCACTTTACGGTAGAACAGTTTAACGAGGATCAATGCTGTACACCCTCTGTCCCTTCACAGAATTATCAAAGTGGTCACCCACTTGCACACTGACCACAGCCAGAAATACTTGACTTCAGTGATCTACTGGAAACCACGTACCTCCGCTTATGTTATGCGATATGAGACTACTAGACGATGTGAGAAGTCTAATTCAGGGGCTCTAGAAGAGGCTTGGTATTCAAGGAAGTCTTATTATTGTGATTTGTGTTTAAATTAACGTCATCAAAATTCTTAAATCATAAGAGTTTTCTGCAATTTTTAAATTCTAACAGATCGTGAGCCTAAACCAAATTTGCGAAATTTAAAATTACAGCATAAATAAACTGTAAGGTTTAACATGTTTTGAGTGTTATCCCGTGTTTAGCTATAATTAGCGTAAAATAGCACCGTAGGTTATTCTTTTAGATAGCATCTTAGCATGCTTATGGAGTCCGAATTAATTTGCTTCGTTGAAATTTAAATGATGCGTCATATTTTAAACACTACAAAGTACAATAATAATAATGAATGGCACGCTTTTTCAAGCTTAGGCGTGAAATCGGAAGTAGTGACCTGAAAGTGCTGTGATTTTAAAATTATGTCAAAGTGTAAAATGTGTGTATCTTGTCCAGTGCCGGATTACCCATTAGGCCAGACTAGGTCATAGTCTGGAGCCCCCAATTAGTAGGGGCCCCCTGAAAATGGATTTATTGAAAATAAATTTTAAGAAATTAAGAAAAATAATGATTTTTTTTTTAAAAAAATCAATTTCAGGTATATATTAATAAAATACGATAATTTTTTATATAATGTTAATCATATTTATTTATTACTTAATAAAATTTAATTTATTATTATTTATTTTTATTTTAAATGTTCTTTCTTAAATGAAAAGATATATAAATACATTATATGTTTGAATAAATAAAAAATATACGAGAAAAAAAATTTAATCTAAGGGCCCCAAAATTTTGAATGGTCTAGGGCCCCGTGTACGCTTTATCCGGCTCTGATCCTGTTAAACTGTCTGTGTACAGAGTTGTGCATAATTACTCTTATTGTAAATATTTTCATCTGTTCTCATTGTTTCAAGTACCCAACGCAGATTAACTATTAAGCAAAACATTTAACTTCTTACCAACTTTTTAATGCTGCACAACTAAAATAAATTAATAAATACCTCCTGTGGGCAGTATGCTTAGATAAATAAAATAAACTAGGAGGCTTCGCAATCCGATGCTCGCTTTGCTCGCTCATTGGATACGTTCTTAACGTCTAGCTATAGTAAACTTTGTTGAACACTGAAGTTCCGAAAACTTTTCACTGTAGAAAATTCTAAACCTGTGAATTTTAATTTGAAATTGCAAACAGTTCGCATATTTTTCTTAATCACACTATTTTAAATTTTAGTTGTTGAGAAAAGTAACTGTTGTAAATTTTGTTTTAAAGTCTTTCCCATCAGAGGGCTAAAACCTTGTGTTGTAAAACAATATGAAATAGTGTAAAACAATAGAGATTGTGTTGTAAAATTGTGTTGTAAAACAATACTGAACGCCGTATGTAAAGCATCGGCTTCGATGAAGATAATTTTGTGAGAATTTTTTTGATAATTCGGTGAAAATTCACCCGATTAGACATATGATGCTAACTACGTGCTCTTGTGCGCCGAAGCCTATCAATTAAAAATGAAAACTGTTGCCAACCATCATTCCATGATGGAAAATGCTACTTGAATACTATGATATATAACCATCGAGAGAATTTGATTCTCATGAACCAACAGTTCATGATGATCCGTGATGGTTCCAACTATATATTTCCATGATGGTTGAATGGGAATTCTTGTTGGTTCATGTTTGATATGCTAACAAACTTCCAGTATTCCATGATGGAAAATGCTACTTGAATACTATGATATATAACCATCGAGAGAATTTGAT